CGCAGACCCTCGGGGTTGAAACAAATCATGACGCCGAGGGTCTGGGTCGCAGGGCCTCTGGAGCCAGGACCCTGCAGGCCAGGCTTCGAGAGCTCGAGGCAGAGAGAGCGGGGGGTCGTTGACGTCTCGACCCACGGCTGCAGCGCTCCTGGTCGTGCCAGGGCCCCGGCTCACCAACATCCCCAGTCCCCGGGGTCCTGGAGCAGCACTGGGCGTCTCTCGTGCCCCTGGCAGTGATCGCGAGCGGCAGGCGGGTGCCCCCTCGTCGCGCCTCGCTGGGGCCCTCGTGGACTGGCCTGGCCCGGAAGAGGCCCGCACAAGCAGAGGCGGTGTCGAGACCGCCCGTGACTACGGTTGCCAACGATGCTGCAATTTGCCCTCACGACGTCCGATTTCGGAGGTGAGACGTGGCGATGGAGGTGGACAGTATTGCTTGTGTTGCAAATCGTTCCACCCTCCGCGGGGGGAAGCAGCGGTGAACAGCCCGTCTGGAGAAAAGGCGATCGGGAATCAGGGACCCAGCCCGCCCTTGCCGATAGGAGAGAGGGGGAGGAAAGGAGGGGGGCAACTGCTCCAAGCCGCCGAGCGGCTCACAGTCGCGCAGCTCATACCTCTGCACGACCCAGTACTGGATGACAGAGTCGTGATGCTGTCCATTGTGCTGCGGTTTCGCTTTGCTCCGCAGTCGTCCGAACGGAGGTGGGCAGGAAACAGGAAAGCTCATGGGGAATCACCGACTGGGAGTTACGGGCCGCACGGCTCCACACGCTTGAAGACGAGCATGCGTTCTCCATCCTCGCTGGGCCCTATCAATCCCTCGCGGAGTAGCCTGGTCCGAAAGAACGGCCCACGCGAGAAGAAATGGTTTCGAGAGCTCCGGCCGCGACTGCACTGTTGCCGTCGACGTTGCGACCTGTCCTCACGACGCGCTGTGCTCGAGGCGAGGCGTAGCGATGGGACTGGATACCCAGCAGGCCGATGGAGCGCCCACCTTGCCGAGCCGACCAGCCAGCAAGTTGCCCCTTGCCGATTCTCGAGAGGGCGCTGCGGCTGTGATGTCTGCAGGCCTGCGTCCGCCGGGTCCGGCCCCGGGTCGTTTCTTGTGGCGGGTGTGCTGCTGAAGCGCAGTCTGTCCACCCCCGAGATACGCTTGGGAACGTTTGCTTCGCGTGTCGCTCCGCCGTTTCTGGCCCACCACGCCTCGACGCGACATGGTAACCCCGTTCCGGTCCCCAGGCATCAAACGTCCCGAGCCTGTCCCAGCCGTCCGCCTCCGGCACGCCATCCGCTTGCAGACCATAGCGTGTTGCCAGGGTTGCCGCAGCGACATGCCAAGCAAAAGCTCCCGACCGAAAGAAATAAGAAAGCCTTGTGGGAATAGATCCTTGGGAGCTTGCCGGCCTCACGTTCTCACACGTTGAAGAACGAGCAGCTCCGCAGATGGTCCCCAGAGGCCCAAAGCTTCCTGGTGACCACCACTTGCTCGCCCAACCTCCCTTGCCCTCCAGAAAAGGGCCGGCCGCGCTCGCACGGGCAACACAATGCAGTGCACGTGCCTCGTTGTGCTCGCTTGTCCGTGCATCACGCGTGTGGGATAGCCTCCCCGAGGGGCAGCGGGTTTCTCGATCTGCACTCCCCTGGCTCCCTCGCGGGTGAGAAAGACAAGCAGGAGGCCGGGCTCGGCGCGGGGGTCCGCGCGGCCGTGCTGTCCGCGTTCCCTGCGGCCTACCTGGCCGGCCTGGCGCCCGCAGGGCGGGCGTGCGACGACCCCGCGCTGCCGCCGCGCGTACTGTCCGCTGGCGCGCTGGGGGTGTCCCTGGGCTGCGCGCTCTTCTCGGCCACGCGCAAGGTGGACCCTTCGCCAGAGTGACCTGCGGAGCGGGCGCACTGTGGCCCCCAAACGACGGAACGCGATGCGATAGCAGCGTCTCGCGCGCTCGGGATTGGCCTCCCCGCGGTCCCCGAAAGTCGCGCACCGAAGGTCGCTCCCCTGAGATCCGACGTCGCGCGACAATTGAAACATGGTCTACAATGACGACCCGAGCCCCAGACCCCATCTGTCTGCGCCCTTTGTCGAGCCGGATCGATCTCCGAGGGCCCCGAGGCCGGAAGCCGGGCGAAGACGCCCGTTGCGCAGGAAGTGGCAGCGCCAGGATCTCAGGGCCTCAGCCCGGGGCCGCTCCTGCGTGTAGCCGATCTTCGGGTTGTGCGGCGCGCCCTGGGCGCTGGCGGCCGCGCGCGCCTTGCAGGGCCTCTCCGCGGCGCTGGCGGACGTGGCGGCCGGCGCGCTGGTGGCGGCCGGCGCGGGCGAGAGGCTCGCGTACATGGAGGGGGTCCTGGAGTCCTGCGAGGCTCGTGGGCGAAAGACATCTCTTTAAGTCGGGCATGTCCCTCTGCAGGAGAACGATTCAAAAATAGTCTGGGGATTATTTTTTGTAGCATCTATGACTATTTTTGATTACTGCTTGACAATTTTTAATTTTTCGCCCAAAATCCGCCTGTAGGGGAACATGCCCGACCTAAACCTATCTCGGCGGCCTGGGGGGAAGCAGAGGCAGCGGACATTCTCGGAAGGCTCGGAAGTCCCCGGGCCGTCCGAAAATTCTTCTAAGCCTTCCCCGAATACACAGAGATTGTCAGGATGCGCGAGGGTTTCTGAGAAGTCCCGCCGCCTTCGGAGAAGGCCTTCTCCTTCTCACTTCCCCCCTCGCTCGCCGCCGCTCGTGGGCGAAAGACATATCCGTGCACACGGCCTCGCAGGCCTGGCCCAGGAGCCGTGACCCCGCGGATAGGGGGCGCTCTTTTGTCGCGGAGCCCCCGCGCGCAGCGTATCCGTGCATCCGCGCATCACCAGGGTCGCGGTCCAGGAGGAGGACGAGGAGGAGGAGGACGAGGATGAGGAGGACGAGGAGCAGGAGGAGGACGAGGAGGAGGAGGAAGACGAGGAGGAGGACGAGGAGGCGGCGCAGGAGGAGGAGGAGGAGGAGGTCGAGGAAGAGGAGGAGGAGAAGGAGGAAGAGGGCGAGGAGGAAGAGGAGGAGGAGGAGGAGGAGGAGGAGGAGAAGGAAGAGGAGGAGGCGAGTTCGCCGCTCGTGAGATGCGGGGCCGCGCGCCGGTGTAGCCCTTCGCGGAGGCGGCCTCTGCTCTCAGACCCCCCCATCACGTCGCGAAGAATTCGCGACGGGAGGAAGATTTTCCCCAAGACAATCAGCCCGCCTGATTGAGCTGCACACGAGGCGCCTCAGCGAGTGATTGCACTTAGGGGGTTTTATTTCTCGACAAAGAAACTGGGCCTGGTTGTCGGTCTGGCCGGCTTGTGGCCGCCCGTCGCGCCGTCCTTGGTCACGATTTTGATTGTGCGAGGGCATGGTCGTCGGTCCTGCCGGCTTGTGGCCGCCCGTGGCCGCCGTCTTCGGTCACGGTGTTTTGTTTGTGCGAGGTTCACGCTTTGCATTGCTTTGCATTCCTTTGCACTGCGTTGCGTTGGTTTGCATAGCTGCGCGTTGTCTTCATCGCTTTGCATTGATCTGCGTTGTTTTGCATTGCGTTGATCTGCATTGCGTTGCTTTGGCTTGCTTTGCGTTGCATTGCGTTGCATTGCATTGCCTTGCACTGCGTTGAATTGTTCTGCGTTGCTTCGCACTGGATTGCAATCGCATTACACTGCATTGATTTGCTTTACATTGATGTGCATTGATTTGCATAGCTGTGCGTTGCTTTGCACTGCTTCGCATTGCTTTGCACCACATAGATTGCACCACATGAACTGCGCCACCTAGATTGCACCACATTGATTGTACCACCTAGACTGCGCCGCATAATTTGTAAGAAATCACTGCTCGGGGTCCACGCTGCCGAACCTTTTGTATTTTCGGTTCCCCTGGGCCCTTGCCCAGCCTCGGGACAGTCACAAAACCTTTTCAGGATGAAAAACCGGTCGCCGAGAAGGGGTCAAGACCTCTAGGGGTCCATGTCTCAGGGCCAACGATAGGGGGGGGGGATAGGCATAGGTGGATATGCATCGACCCCGAATCGCCCTTCGATCGCCGACAGGGGTCTGATAGCCCCACCCTGCCCAGGAAGGTGCGGTTTCGCCATCGGGGGCCTATCGCCGTTCTATCTGCGAGGTATCGCCGATTCCAGATCGTGGCCCCTCAATGTCGAGACACAGTGACGACATCGGGAGTCTGGGGTGCGCGGCTTTCGGGGGGCGCGCGGGGGGGGGGGGGGGCAGAACCAGGCACGCACGGCTGCTGCGGCGAATCGCACCGCCTCCCCGCCCCCATCTTCCACTGCGGGGGTGCTGCGCGCCTCCCCTCTCCGGGAGAGGCACTGGGCTGGATCCTCGGGCCGCCCGTGGGCGCCCTGCTCTACGCCCGCGCCGGCTTCCCGGCCACCTCCGCGCTGTGGGCGCTGCTGTGCGCCGCGGTGGTGCCCGCGACCGCCCTCGCCGCGGGCGCTGGCGCGGCGCGCCCGGGGGGAGCGTCCCCGCCGCACTCGGGGCAGCGCAAACCGCACGTCGTGAGCTGACGACCACAGCAACCCCCACCTGCGCGACCTCCAGACGTCTCGGGGTGCATCTCCGGGGGGGGGGGCTATGGGGAGCGTGTTGCTGGAAGGGGGCCCCTGTTCGAACGGTGGCCTTCCTCGGGGTCCGACAACCCGCACCCATACCTTGAGCGCAGCCCCAATTCGCGAGACGCGGGTCAGCTCCCTATAAGTAGAAGGGTGCGGAGTCCGCTCGTCGGCACGAGGTTCGGCATCTCACCCCGCCTATTGTCTCGGTCGGAGGAAGGTGTTTTGACGTTCTCGGACGTTTTTCGTCGGCTCCCGGATGCTGGATGCTGTTTAGCGGCTGCGCCTCGTCGGAAGCGTCAGAGGCCTGCACTATGGCCAAAACACGACTGGGGCCTCAGATGTCCTACGATTTGGTCGTTTCCAACCCTGTATGTTTTAAGGTTTCGGCTTTTGTTGACCGTTTACGGGCCCTGTGGCAATCAAAACTGATTCCAGGTCTGGAGGAGGGCCTGTCGAGACAACGGCGGTTCTCCCTTACGCTTTTGGCGTTTTCGTGGGCCTCCCCGAGGCTTCTCGTCGCCACGGTTGCATCCTCTTCGAGTACAGGGATATCCGACGGTATAATTTGTCCGATCCTAGCATTGTATCAAAATTTCGGCCTCGGGGTCCGTTTTTGGGCCCCGGGGCAATCAGAAATTGATCCGGGACAGAATTCTGGGCCTGGGGGAGGGGGAGAGACTTTTGGAGCCGCGCATTGAAAACTCAGATCGTCGGATATATGGGCTCTTGCCTAAGTCGGAAGAGGGCTGGTCGAGATAGCGGCGGCCTTCCTTTGCGCGTGTCGTGCTGCTCTCAAGCCTCCTGAAAGCTTCTCGTCGCCGCGGCTGCATCCGCTTCGAGCAACGGGTCAGGATGGACCCCAGGATGGGGGGATCAAGTTTGAGCGCACTGGGGGGCCGGGAAACGTGCCCCCACGGCCGAAATCGTGCCACAACGCCTGGGCTGCAACAAAAGTCATGCCGTCGGAAATTTGTCGGCCACGCGCAGAGGGGGGTCGGGAAGGGGAGAAGGCTTCTGAGAAGCAGCCCTGCTTCTTAGAAGGCGCGGGCCTTAGCTATAGATTACAGTCGAGGATCTGATAAAGAAACCTTACCCGAAAAGCTGGGTCAGCGTTTCTTAGCCAATTTGCCAGAAAGCTGGCCCAGATTCTTGATCACGTTCGCCCCCGCCAGCGGTAACAACAGATGTTGGTCCAGATTTGTTCCCAACCATCTTGTGGTGTTGGGTCCTCGTTTTGAAAAGCAGTCCCCGCGTCCACTCTCCTCCTCCTCCTCCTCCTCCTCCTCCTCCTCCTCCTCCTCCTCCTCCTCCTCCTCCTCCTCCTCTCTCCTCCTCCTCCTCCTCCTCCTCCTTCTCCTCCTTCTCCTCCTCCTCCTGCTCGCTCTCCCCTCGGGTCGCCTGCGGCCCCGGGGGAAGCCGTCCATTCCAGAGGCCGAGCTCGAGGCAAAACGCCCAAGTAAAAGAAGCGAGCCGTCGCAGATCAGCCACGCGCAGATGGGGGTGTAGGATGAGGGGGGAGGTTTGCTTAGAAGCACCCCTGCTTCTTAGAAGGCGCGGGCAGTGTCTGTAGATGTAGGGCCGGCGCCTTCTGAGAAGCAGCTTCCTTCTAAGAAGCATTCCCCCCGCCCACTATTTCCTTGCGCGCGCCGCCAAGCAGAGCTGGGCGTCTCGCGTTCCACGCGGTTTGGTGGCTGCCCTGGCGCCCGGCTGTGGCGAGCTCGCAGGCGCGCTGCTGGAGGAGTCGAGGGCGGCCAAGCGACACGCTGTCCACGTCCCCATCCCCAAGCGTCAACGTCCCGAGCTTTTCTCAGCCTCCCACCCCGCGGAGCGGAGCGACACGCTGCCAGCTTGCAAGGCACAGCGAGTCGCCAGGGCCGCCGCCGCGACACGCTGCCCAAAAGTTCCTCACAATACGGGGGGGGGCATCACGGCCAGGGCCATGAGATCTTCCCAGATCTCATGGCCCATCCGCTTTTTCCGATGCGTCCGCTGGCCCCTTCCCCCTGGGCCGCGCACGTGCCTCGGGCCACGATTTGCGAACCCCCTCTTGAGCGGCCCCCCTCTTAGGGCGCCCCCGAAGGAGAGGGACGAGGAGGCGGAGGAGAAGATGCCGTCCAGCCAGCAGAGCCTTGCCGACCTCGGGGCCGCGCCGACAGGGGGGGAGGCGGGCGGGCGGGGAGCATGCCCACACCGGCCCCTGACTTCGGGTCCGCCGTGCTGTATGGTCGACTCGTCTACTTACCAGTGCGTCCGAAATGCACCCAGAACGATGCAAAAAAGCAGGGCGGACATCTCTGCTTCAGAACAGAGCAGGGGCGGGGGGTTATCCTCCAGCAAAAGTACGGAGGAAACAGCGATGGCCAAGTACGGCGGAAATCAAATCGGCACCAAAGGAGCTTGGAACAGTGGGACGGAAATCTCCGCCCTACCAGCGATATCGCCTAAAGCACGGCGGATCCGAAGTCAGGGTCCGCCTCGCGGCCTGGGCTCCAGCGGCCGTAACCCCACGGGCACCCAGACCTCCGACGAGAGGAGTTTTGTCCATCGGGGCGTGTTTGGTAGATGTGGCCCCTGAGGCCCATTTTCCGGCCCCGGGGCCAGCAGTTCTGGATCTGGGGCGAGAAGTTGGCCCCAGGGAAGGGCCTGGGACCTCCCTGGGGCTGCGCATTGCACGAAGGCAAATCGTCGGACGCCTGGGGACACAGGGCGGCTTTGTGTGGATGCCCCGCGCGATCGTGCAGTTGCCCATGGGGCCCTGCCTCGGTGTCCCCGGACCCCGACGTCGTGATGGAGTCATGGCGCAGACCCCCGCGGGTCTGGCCCCCTTCCGCGGGAGCGCTTCTTCCGCCTGAGCCGTCCTTTGACGGCCCCGAGGGCCCGGGGAGGGCACCCTTCAGGCCCTCAAAGCGGGGAGAGCAGCAC